AAAAATAAATAAATAAAGTGTGTCATCTAGCAAAGTGAAAGGTCACCAGTTCAATTCCAAGTCTGGGCTCAGGCCTGGGCTGTAGACCAGGGACTGGCTGTGGCACATGTGCGAGGCAACTGAGTGAAGTTTCTGTCTCTTTTTCTCCCTCCATTCCCTTGTCTCTAAAAATAATAAATAAATCTTTTTAAAAATGTTAAAAAAAGCATATGTGATAATGAGGAAAGAATAGTCTTTTAAACAAATAGTGAAGAGACAACGGGATAGCCACAAAAAAAAAGTGGGACACTTCACACCATATAGAAAAACAAACTCAAAATGAGTCAAAGACCTAAATATAATCATTAAAACTATAAAACCCTTTGAAGAAAACAGAGGGGTAAATCTTTATGACTTTGGGTTTGACAATCGTCTCTTAGCACAACCACCCAAAGATAAATTTCAGATAAATTTCATCAAAATGCAAAACTTTTGTGCATCAAAAGACACTATCAAGAAAGTGAAAAGATAACCCACAAAATGGCAGAAAATATTTGCAACTAATATATCTGATAAGGGTCTAGTATCCAGAATATATAAAGAACTCTTACCACTCATCAACAAAGAGACAAGCAACCCAAATAAAAAAATGGGCAAAGGACTTGAACAGACATATTTCTACAAAGAAAGTATGCACAGGGCCAAAAAGAACATGGAAAGATGTTCAACATTATTGGTTAGTAGGGAAATGCAAATCAAAACCACAATGACATACCATTTAATACTCAGCAGGATGGATATAACTTTTACAAAATTTGAAGGGAAAATAAGTGTTGGTGAGAATCTGCAGAAGTTGGAACCCTCACTTCATGCACTGCTGGAGGGAATGTAAATTGTGCAATCACTGTGGGAACAGTTTGGTGGTTCTTCGATAGGTTAAACAGAATTACTATAGGACCCAGCAATTCCACTTGTCCATATACATATGAAAGAATTAAAAACAAGTGTTCAAACAAAACTTGTTTGTACACATTCATAGCAGCACCATTCACAATAGTCAAATGAGGAAAGACAAATGTCCAACAGTGGAGGAATGAATACACAAAACGCAACATAGCAATACAATGGAATACTGTTTAGCCATAAAAAGGAATGAAGATACCTGCTACAATGTGGATGAATCTGGAAAACAGTATGCTAAGTAAGAAGCCAGACACAAAAGGCCTGATTGCATGATTCCATGTGCACGAAACTTCCGTAACAGGCAGATCCATACAGACGGAAAGTTGACTAGTGGTGTCCAGGGTCCAGGAGTAGAAGGAGAATGGGGAGTGACTGCTTCATGGATACAAGTTTTCTTTTTGGGATGAAGAAAATGTTCTGGAACTAGACAGTGGTAATGGCTACATGACACTGTGAATGTAGTGTCATGGAAATGCATGCTTTAAAATGGTTAAGATGGTGAATTTCACTGCAATAAAAAAAAGCAATTACTATAAAAGTCTATTCTTTCATTCATCTATCAAATATGTATTGAGCAGTTCCCGACAAGTTTATTCTGGATGCAGGGAATACAGAGACTTATCAGGTATGGTCTTGGCCTTGGAGGATTCTCTGGGTTGGGAGGGGAGGAAAATCATCCTACAAACACATTCAGTTAAGTGTTATAGTTTCCTTGAATGTGTACCATACACTGTGGTGGCTGCTTTTCAGAGGGATTGGGCGTGGAGAACAGCAACGGCGAGGCTGAGTCTTGAGTGACGAGCAGGAGTTTGCTTGGCGGATGGCAGCGGGAAGTTTCAGGCAGAAGGTGTGACCCGAACCAGCTCAAAAACTGATGTCAGAAAGCTAGCTCCTGGCTCTCAGCAAACCCCAAACCAAATAGCACGTGTTCAGCAGTGTAGAGGATGGACTTCAAGACAATGAGGTGGCAAGTAGATGACCACCCACCCCTGTCTGGCTGCAGAAGGGACGCTAAGAAATGCAAAGGGGGATGGCAAAGACCTGATGGGACATGAGGCTCAAAGAAAGTGTGACTCCAAGATTGGGCCACCTGGTCGGGAGTGGTTATTGCCTGTCCCTATGGTGGGCCTGCAGGACATTCTGTACTCAGGGGACATCGAACTAGAATGAACACCCCCCTTCTATGTACTCTCCTATTTTTAATATATATAATTTTTTCGCATTTGAAAACCACTTCTCTTTTCCTTGGGCTTCCTCTGTTTTCCTGTTTGAAGTATCTGTTACTATGGAAATGCCATGGCACAGTAAAGTGGCATTTACAAGTGAGGTGTAAAGAATTTTCAGAACATCTCGAAACACAAGTCTAGGGTTTAGGAATATAAGCCCTAATGATGTGATAGTGCTCATGCCTTCAGACACTGTGTTATAAATATAAACACACCCGGAAATTTTAGACAGCATAGAGGAGATAGTTGAGAACTTTGTTAGGATTTATGTGCCCAGATTCTGAGTATATGAGAAATATTAAAAACACAAAACATAACACACTAGTTGGGAAGAACATCTGGAAAAAATGAACAACAGAATGCCAACATTTACTTGTGAATACACACCTCTGGAAGAAGGACTGGGGGCTGGGGGGAGCTGGGACACCCCTTGGAAACTTGGAAAAACCTTTGTAGCACCTTCTGTGCCATAAATATATTCCCTAAAATTGCATGTAAATCAACTGTTGGTAAATCATATTTATCAAATGTAATGGTGACCGCTATTCTAAAGATATCTTAAGAATGTACATTTCAGTAGGGGAAATTATTACCAGTGGAGCAATGGAAAAATCTCACCGGACTGAGTGAAATTCAAGGTCCTTCATTATTATCCTGGCTCTGCCAACTGAATGTGTGATTCAAGAAAAGTCAGTCAACCTCCCTGGGCCAATTTCCTCATCTAATCTGGGTTGTAATTCTGAATTTTCACTTATTAGTTTCTTAAAGCAAGGTGCAGGGGTACTGGCCCGCAGCCTAATGTCTTCTGGGAGGTAAAGCTGCACACTGAAGCCAGTGGACAGAGCTCAGGGCCCTTTTACATGAGAGGAGCTCGGGTTGGTACAGCCAGCAGGCCAGTTACCATTCTGTGTTCTGCACCTTTGTTACCCACTTTGTCATTCCCACAATCACCCTAAGTGCGATCATTCCCATTTTTTGTTCCAAATTCTTGACAAAAAGCTTGTTCTTTAGAGTTGTCCTCTGGGAAAAATTGACAGTTCAGAGTAAAAACCCATTCTTGGTGATCTTTCCACCTCTGGTCCTGTACCTATTCCATAAGACAGGGCACTGCCAAAGGGCAAGGACCGTACCCTGTGCCTGGTACAAGCCCAGGGGCAGAGAAGGAATTCAGCAAATGACAGTTCACTGAAGGAGGAAGCTGAGGTAGAGAGGTGGGTCTGCTGAGATACCTGAACCCTAGGGGTGAACTTTTGGCAGCTGCTTTAAACATTTCTGAACTTTCCAAATTTTTTACAATGGGCAGAAACATAAACATACCACAAGCATTAAACTCTCCTTTTCCTGGCTTTTTGTCAATGCCCTGGTCTCTCATAAATAATACAATCTTTTCCCGGTTCTCCAATGCTTGGAACAGGACACAGGGCACACATCTTTTCTTTAAAGGAAACAGCAATTACAGTCTCCTACTCTGTTTTGCTTAAACAGCAACGATACTCTGCATTTGCCTTTGTGGACCTAACACCTGCAATCCAGCTTCAGGCAAGGACCCCTGCCAACTGGCTGCGGGAAAGGCCATTTACCAATGGTGTTTAGGCGCCACCTTGATTAATCCGCCATCCAGGAAGTACAAAACACACTGTAAGAATTCCTTTGTCTTCTTAAGCAAAAACAGGTTTAGGCCTTATTAACTGGCAAGAGATAGAAGGCAATGGGTCAGGCTTTTTGCCAATTTACTACCACCTTGTAGAATAATTCAGGAAGACCAAAGCAGCAAAGGAAATTACTATCTACTGGGTGCTCACTGCATGCCGGGTCTTGTGCTGGGCCGTCACCCACATTATTTAATGTGAGCCTCACATCCGATAGTCACTATTTAACATACTATATTTTGACTAACTTCTCTTATTTTCTGTCTGCCTCCGCCCCCTTAAATGTATGCTCATGAGGAACTTTTTTTATCACTTATCACTCAGTGTCCAGGACAGTGGCAGACACATATAAGCACTCTAAATACTTGTTGAATAAACAAACTGAACAGCTCCATGAGACAGGTGTTGTCACTCTCCTTTCAGGGGAATAAGCAAGTGATCCAAGGGTGCAAGTGAAACGCCCAACACCACAGGCCTTGTTAAGGAGCAGGGCTAAAACCCCAGTCTCACGCTTTTGTTCTTGTTCTTTTTTGACCATAGGTTGTAATTAGACTTAGACTTAAATATTGAAGAACTCTTTCAGCTTGACAAAGTCATAATCTCTATGCCTATAAACCTGTATTTACCTTGTGTGTTCATTTGAAAGTCTGAAATTTCACCAAGGAGATACAGTTGGCACTTTAATGATATTTTGCTAAAGCAACAACAAAGGACACATTTTCCCCACATAACAATGCCATCTATGGATAGGCATGGTCTATATCACTTCTCATTTTAAAGTCCCATAACATGATAACTCTTCAGACATCCATAAGAAGCACAGTCATTCTGGATATGGACAAAATAACATTTGCAAACCTTAGAGTTTTGTAAATTACAACATGATACGCGTGTAGAATTCTCAGTGTGGAATGCCAAGCATTCAGGGGTGCACCCGAGTTGCTCGAGTGTCCAGGTATGGGAGGAGGTACACTAAAAGCCATTCCCATCCTCAAGAAATTGTATGGAAGGCTCAAGGATTCTTAGTGAGTCAGCTGTAACAAAATCCATCTCAAGAATATTTCCTTTATGTGAGAGAATGTAAGAACGAAATCCAGCCAAGGAGAATTTCACCCAGGGGAGTATTTTGTATCCTTTTCCATTTGTCAGAATATACTTGAGCCCTACACGCTTCTTTACCTACCCAGGGCTACATAACAGGAGCACACCACTTGCAATGTCTTCTCATACCGCCTTAGTTTTCTCTAGGGATCCTGGTCACGTTCACTTCTCCTCTGGGGCAGGCCTTTTCCCTTCTGTCCCACTCCGGCTCCCGACACAGTTATCGTACAGCCTGTGTCAATGAAGCCAGTTTATTGTTCATGGAGCAAACTAGTGATTTGGCTTCACTTTCTCCATTGCCAACTTTTGGTGCTATTGTTTTATTCTAATAATAAAAGTAATAATACTTCAGAAATGTTTTTAAAAGAAATACAAAATTTTAGAAAATACTCATACTCCAACAATGTTAGTCATTTAAAAAACATTTTTGGATTTATACATGTAATTTTTTTATATCACTCCTTTAACATGATAAACATTTTTCCATGCAGTGTTAATTCTTCATAAACATTAACTCTAATGACGGCATTATAGTCTATTGTAGAGTCATACTCTAATTTGTTCAACCAATTTTCTACTGTTGGACTTCTGAATTGTTAAGCATAAATTCCACCCACATTTTAGACTATTTCTTTAGGACAGACTCCCAGAATTGGAATTACAGGATCAGAAGATATAAACATTTTTAAAGCTCCTGAAAGATACTGCCAAATTGCTTTTCGGAAAGCTGTTGCCAATTTACACTTTCAACATTGCCAGTGTGTTTTTCTACCAACGCGGACCTGTCTAAAGGATAATAAAATTTAAGTGGAACATACAGCGGCCTATGGCAAAGGTCATTCCTATTTCAGGTATGCAATTAACCATGAGTTAGTGTGAGCTCATGGAACAAGTTTCGCAGAAGCGGAGCAATATAATGAGATTTTGGGCTGACTGATCTGAAGACTGCATCCGTTTTGTGCATTGTCGTGCCACCCTGCACACCGGGCAGTGCCTGGCACATACAGTCACTCAGCAACAATGTGTTAAATTAACACAGAGTCTTCTTTGGAGATGCAGCTTTTCAGCAACTGTAGAATTTAGTCGCTCCTCGATGCAAGGAAAACATGACCAGCTGGGTTACCCTCGTAAAGGTCTGTTCAGGCCTGACAGTCTATCTCAACTTTGGAAAATTGGTTTAAATGAAGGTGACCCAATACAGCCCTCGTTAGGGGAAAAAACAAGCACGCACATCTAAAAGGACATACCTTGGCATCAATTGCAAATATATACATATACACTTTAAGAAGCATGCAAAAAATATAATTCAGTGACTTTTGTCACCTCCATAATAGTCACTTCATAAGTGACAAACTTGTTCAAATGCTGCCAGAGGTCAAGGCGATTTTGGAACCAATTTCAGTTCATTCTATTATCACCGGTTATAATACTGATGAAATTGTTTTTGAGATATTACAGGGCATATATAGGTAGTAGTTCATGTAATATCATTTTGAGTCAAACAGAACACAAAACTCATTTTGTGAACCAGAATAGGGTCAAGGTAAAACAGTCATTCAACTCTAGTTCACGTTCCTGGCACCATAAAGATTCCCTTTAATATCCCACAATTTCTATACAGTAAATTGTCAGACACCACCAGATCAGCTTAGCATTAACAAGTTAATGATGGAAAAGAATCAATCACTGTCATTTTATATATACACTTTATAAACACTGGACCAAGAGTCAGCAAATTATGGTCCACGGGCCAAACCTGGCCCGCCATCTGTTTTTCTACAGTGTACAAGCTAAGAAATGTAAGAACAATTTTTTTTAGCTTTTTAAATGGCTGAAAAAATAAAAATAATATTTTGTGACATGTAAAAATTGTATGAAATTCAAATTCCAATGTCCGTAAAGTTTTTTTCAGAACACAGCCATGCTCATCCGTTTCCCTGTTAGATGTCTGCTTCTGCAATAAAATGGTGAGTCGTTGTAATAGAGACTGCATGGCCCGCAAATCCTAAGACGTTTCCTTTATGACCCCTTCATCAGACCCAAGTGGGTCCTTGGAAGTACTGGTTTCCCACTACAGAGTTTGTTTTTTTTTTTTGGGGGGGGGGGTTCTGAATATCAGTAGTAGAAGGGTGACGCATTTGGGACAGTTATTTGCAAGGATGTAAAAAGGTAGAAAGTAGAGAAGATAAATACGCGAGGGTTGCCTCGGACAGGATGGAAAGCCTGTAGATCTAAGAGGTCTGACTCGACTGAAAAGCGGAAGAACACAGAGTCCCATATATAGTTCCAACAAAGGAAGCTCTTACTAATTGAGCCACACGGGACCCTGGTGAGATGCAATCCTAAGGCCAGTGAGACTTGTTGGCGATTATGTTTGCGAAGAGCAGGCTGGCTGAACAGCGGTCACTGTGATACAGTGAGATGACTCCCCCGCAGTGCCGCACTTCTTTACTAGATGTCTTCAAACCATTTAACATCCAGATTTCTCCGGGCATTTCCAATGGCACGTGTGAATGCTGACTAAGTGGCTGAAAGGAGGGCTCTGGAAAGCAGGTCCCAGGTGCACCTTCTTCCCAAACAATCACATTTCAATGAGGATTCAAAGCCAGGGGCAGACTTTCTAAGACTGCAGAACTTTCCACGTGTTTTTCAAAATCAAAGATTGGTGGACATTTATTCTTTCTGATTTGAGTACTACCAGTGGGACGGACAGGTAGAGTAAGGTAGGGTGGGGTAATGGATGCAGGAAAAACTAAATAAAATCAGTGATGGGATGATCTGCCCTGGAAGGTTTCTGTTCCTCTAGGACTTCCAGCTGTGGCATGTAACATCCCATGTGGATTCTGAACCAGAGTGGGGGAGGGAAGATCAGCCCAAAAGCCAAAGAGATTCATTAACAGATTGTTTTGAGCTCAAGAATTATGGTCAAGGCTTGCAGACTGCCAGCTCACCTGCTGACATCCTACAGAGAACTAGGTTTCATCTACTACCATTAGGTGGAGCTTTTCTTCCCGGGGAAAATATAATTGCTAGGAGCATGGGACTGGGATGTTGTATCTCAGAGAAACTTTCATGAGGTAACCAAATTGCCTTCATAAGAACTGGTAATACTGGTTGCTGCTGGGGTGTGGACCCCCCCCCCCTTGGCTAAGGATGAAAAAGGGAGTTTTTCTCTTTCTCTGTATGCCCCTTATCAAAAACAAAAACAAGAACCCCACCCACCCAACCAGAGTGCCCACCCTGCTTCCTGATAGGAAGGCAACCTGGGGCCAGGGTTGCAACAGACGATTTCCTTACTGAGGGCTACAGGCTGACTTAGGAGCTGGAAGAGGGATCTGTAAATCAGAGGAGCGGAGTTAGCTGTGATTTGAGTGAAAAACCATGACCAAAAGGGCAATTCAAGAGCATCACACCGAAGTGACCAAAAGCAGCTACTGGAGGGAGGTGTGGTCCAGAACGAGGGAAACAGAGGAACAAGAGCAAACTAGTAGAGAATAAACTGAGAGATGTTTGAGAAAAGCCAAGGACAAGAGCCTGGGGCGCGATGATGAGTAGATCCGTGAGACTATAGGTTCAGAAGCCCTAGGCAAGGTGCAAGACAGAGCAAAATCCATGTGAGCAATAAAAGAGCTTTGGCGGTAGCCACATAAGGTACTGTTAAATATGAACTCTCCCATCCTAGATCATGCTCGAGCCTGGGATTTAGTGATTCTGAGCCGCCATGTGTGGTTTGCTCTGGATGAGTGTTTGGGCAGTAATTTTACTTCCCCCAAATCTGAGGTACATCAGTTATCATCTCATTGAATATTTTCTGGGAAACCTTGCATTGGGTTCAAGTAGTCATTTGACTTGACTTTACTTGGGACAGGATCTAAGATAATAAATTAAGTCCCTTTCATAATTCAGTCCTGATGACCTGTTTCCAATTGCGGTGTCCAAACCTTGTAAGGGCCAACATTGCTCTTGGTACCCTGTACTCCAACATGGTCTTAGTCCAGCACCTTTGGAAGGGTCACTCCAACCCTGTGCACAGGATGGGAAAAGTCCAAAAATAAGTCCTCTCAGGATCTCTGTGTCATAACAGGTTGAAGGGAATGACTGTGAAGGGATCCTGGCCCTGGCCCAGGAATACACAATTCTGCAAGTTACCACTGGGCTTGCTAAAGCTAATATGAAGTTCATTAACCAATGTCACCCCAATAAATTCAATGAAAAAAAAAATTTTAATGAGGTCAGTCACAGTTGCAACAGATAGCCACAGGGACTTTTGCTTCAGCGTGCAATGTGGAGTGCCTGTGAGGAACCAGGGTTTCATCTGATGTAGGACGATGTCTAGAAATTGCTAAGTAGGTAAAAAGTCTGTAAGCTGTTGCTTGGTTTGAGTTTTCTTGCACAATATCTTTTATTTATGTAATCATGTCCAGGTTTCAGGGTGCCTCAAAACTAACAGGAATTAGTGGGGAATTTGTAATTTTTAGAGGGGATTCAGTGAAAGAATGGAACTAAAAATAACTGTTGAATAAGTAAGTGTTGGGCCTCTGCTATCAACTGACATTGTTTACTAACTTACTAAAGAAATAATAGGAGCTGTTATGTATAAAAATCCTTGGGTAAAGCATAGACCTTGGTAAATCCTGTGAAATGCTGTTAATAACCACCCCCCCTCCCTGCTCCTCCACCAGTCATTCTGAGATGTTTCCAGTCTATGTGGTATTACTTGGAACCCACCTGGGGAAAGTTCCATTCCATAAATCCTGGCAGAGAGGCAGAAGACATAAAGGAGTTTGAACTTACATAGACTGCTTTTTTTGAGGGGAGGGGCAGAGGTTGATGGGAAGTTTAGATAACCATATAAGTGAGTTATTATAAACCTATCCACAATTTTCCCTGGCTGGTGTGGCTCAGTGGTTGAGTGCTGGCCTGGGAACTAAGAGGTCGCCAGTACAATTCCCAGTCAGGGCACATGCCTGGGTTGCAGGCCAGGGCTCAGTTGGGGGCATGCAAGAAAGAGGCAACCACACATTGATGTTTCTCTCCCTTTCTCCTTCCCCTTCATCTTTAAAAAATAAATAAAAATCTTTTTAAAAAAACTAGCCACAATTTATGAACAACTGGCATAGAGTTGGGGGCAGAGAAGAGGAAGCAAAGGATCCCAAATTGTTCATCCTCTGCAACATCATTATCTTGCTCTCCAGACAAAAGTGCCATCATTTTCTCACTGCTGCAGGTTCAGAGCCTCATGCTGTTCCACCTGCCTGGGAAGCTTTCCCTAATTTCCTAGCTTCATGTCCCATCGTTCCTTACAAATCTAGCTCCTGAACCACCTCATCCATGAGGTCCACCCAGCCCTTGGTGATTTTGTTTCATAACATAACACTGTCAATGACCAGCAGTGTTCTAAAAACTGCAGGTATCCAAAAAGCACCTGACAACGTTGGCAATAGTTTCTAAAATCAGGCTGCTATGTAGGAGTCAGCACGTAGGCAGCTGGCTCCCTTAATGCAGGGTCTAGCGTCACCTGGTCTCCCTCCCCACACAGCACAGCCTGGGTCTGAGTCCCCTGGTTTATATTTTCAAGGACCAGATCCCCCTCTTCCAGCAAAGATACCCAAATGAGCATGTGCATGTTGTCGGGGTGGGGTCCAAAGCACAGGACTAGAATGAAACAAACCCAGCTCTTTTGTGAGGTAAGGTCTGTGAGCTCAGTATGGGTAGGCCAACCCGAGTTCTGAGGGGCACCTACTGAATCATTTGGGCTGGACTGACCCTTAGCATTGCTCATTATGTCAGCATGCCACTGCCTTCTGAACCATACCTCTGGCCCTGACTGTGAAGCAGGCTGGAACTGGAGGCCTTCTCTGGAGGTCCTCCCAGAAGAGTATGTCTCCCTGGGCACAGAGATACAGACTCCAGGAGATCCTGCTCCCACCTCTCATTGGTATGATCCCCTGAGGCAGAATGTTGAGAACATAGGAACAGGACAGCCATAATGATCTAAGGCATGGGCAGTGAAGAGATCCAAATTTGTTAAGCAAAAGAAATCAAGAACAAGCAAGAACCAGAAGTCAGCAGCCAGAGGTTCTTCAAAGTTGTGGAGAACAGCAAGGAAGATACGACCCAACAGTCCAGCAGAGTAACCTAGGAGAGCCATGGCATGGAGGGAGGGATGGTACAGATGAGTGAAAACAGACCAGCAGCAAATGAAGGTGCCTAGCACTGAGGCGGCTTTTTAGCTCAGGTTCAGCTACCTCACAATCCTTTCACCAAAGTGTGAACCAATCCTGAGCTGCCCTGGTAGGAAGGCTTGTTGAAGATGAGGCCTGCAGATGCTGGCTGGCAGCACAGTGGATTCTGGGATGGGAGACAGGCAGAGGCGTTTCCCTACCAGCTTCACACTGAAGATGCCTCCATGCTTCAGAGCCTGTTACCCTTTTCTTCACATACAACCTATTTTTCCTAGTTTCTTTGGAAAGATCAGAACAAAAGTCCAGCTTTCGAGGTTTAGGGTGATCCTTCAAAATAGCAGATATAACTTTGGCAGAAACTTTTCTCATGTTCAAGTTTTCTTTCAGAATGAGTCTGACAGTTTCTTTATCTAAATTTAACTCTTCGGCCATCATCCTCACTGTTAACTGCCTGTTTGAACAAACCAAGTCCTTGACCTTTTGGATATTTTCATCTGTCCGGTGGGTAACTGGACGGCCACTTCGGGCATCATCTCGAACATCTTCCCGACCTTCTTTAAATCTTTTGTGCCAGTCAAAAACTCTGGCCCTAGACATGACTTCATTCCCATACGCTTCTTTTAAAAGATGGTTGGTCTCACTTGCAGGCTTGTTTAATTTCACGCAAAATTTTATACTAATCCTTTGTTCTAGATAGCGGTCACTCATTTTGGCACTTAACACAGGAACGTTAACAGGCTACAATTACGGGGAAGATAGAGGGACCAATCTCTATACGACTGCAGGTGGAAGGAATCAGGTCGCTCGCTATTCTTGATCCTCTGGAAGCCTCACCAGGAAAGAGTAATTGCTTTTCTGAGTTTTCGGCCCTCAGCTTTCAATCGAAGCAGGTAGAGAAGTCCGTTCTGAGAAGCTAATGGGGCTAAAGAGTAGCCGCAAAGCTGGGGAAAATGTAATCTCATACAACCCACCTCTGCGTCCAACACAGTGCACGCAGATCTGCCGGGAATTTACAAATCAGTAACCAAAGTTGTCCCCGATTCCGCGGCGCTTAAAGGTCTATGGCGATTTCTGCAACAGAGGCCTAAGTGGTGATATCTTAAAACAAGCAAGGAGACATACACCAGTGATGTAACGTGCAAGCTCGCCCCACATATGCAGAATCCCGCGAACGCCAAACCTACCGAAGCAGCCCTGGGTTCACCAGCTCTAGAGTCCAAGAGACACGCCTGCATATGCAATTCCCTCCCACCCGCAGTAGAGCTGCGCAGGCGCGCTGTGGCAGCCCGCGCCTACCCCGCCTCCAGCTCACCACACCCGGGCAGGCGCAGTTCCCTGCGCTTGCCTGCCCGTTGAGAAGTCGGCGGAAAGGAAGGGGCGGGGGAGGAAGACTAAGGGAAGAGAGGGCACCCCCGGGCGCCAGGGTGCATTGTGGGAAGGAGGCGGCAGCGTCCCGGGCGGGCGGGAGGTGCACCAGCGGCGGCGGCGGTAAATCCTCCAGGCCGCTCACAGCACTGTGGAGCCGCATCCCCAGCTCGGCCTCGGACCGCGGCGCCCCTCCTGCCCCTCGCGGCTTCTAGCCCGCCCGCCCCTCCCCCCAGCGCGCCGGCTTTGCCGAGCCGGCCGGCCGGCCGGCTTGGCTCCCCTCCCCTGCCCCGACGGGCGGGCGGGCTGCCCTGAGGAGGCGGGGAGGGGAGAGGTGGGCCCGCCTGCGGGCGGGCGACGATGCCGAATTTCTGCGCGGCCCCCAACTGCACGCGGAAGAGCACGCAGTCGGACCTGGCCTTCTTCAGGTTCCCGCGGGATCCGGCCCGGTAAGCGGCGGGCGCGCAGCTGGCACCTGGGCCCACCTCCGCGGTGCCCGGGTCCGGGTCTGAGAGGGGTGTGTGTGGATGGGGGGCACAGTCTTCCACCCCAGCCTCAGACCCAGGTGGGGACCGGACCGCGAGCAGTTGACTTGTAGGCACCCGGGGATCTCGCAGCACGTGCGCCGGCGTAGGATCGGCGCTGAGGGCATCACCCGAAATAAGAGGCAACTAGGGTGGCGGGCAGGAGGGATAAGTGGGTTCTTGTCCTGGCTAGCTTACTCCGTGACTTCGGGCAAGTCACTTTCTTCTCTGAGCATTAGTTTCCCCAGCTGTCAAAAGAGGGACTTGGAGTCCATGATTGTGGCTACCGGGGCTCTTTTCTCTCCTTGCCACCACCTCCGGGACCTCGTTTCTTTTTTGGAGTCCGGCCACCTTGTTTGATCTCAAGTCACGTCACAACTGCTGTCTCCTTTGGACTTGCTCCTGGTTCAAATTCTGGCTCGGGCTGTTACTCATTATCTGCTTGGTTATTGTGGGGATAACGGAGCTGGCGGGGAGGAGGTAGGGGTGGGGGAAGTACGCATGAAGGCATGAAAATTAGCATTGAAACCTTCTTTGAAGTAACTTAACACGCTCTTAGAGAGAGTGATGGCATAGGGGCTGTGTTTGAAACGCTGAGGGTTCTTGGCCTCTCTTTGATTTAGTCATTTCAGATCAACACACCTACTAAGTGTGTTAGATGCTGGAAATTCACAAATGAATGAGTGTTGCTGCCTGCAGAAAGCTCGTAGTCCATTAAATATAAGCAGGTGATTGTCATATAACATGCTATTTATTAGTCCCACAGATACTTATTGAAGGCCTACTATGTGTTGGGCATTGTTCTGAGCACTGGGAGTGTACAGATGGACAATTCACAAAGTCCCTGTTCTCATGGAGTTAACAGTCTGGGGAGGGGGAATAGACAAACATACAGTGTGTCAGATGGACTCAACTAGTTTTGCTATGTAGAGAGTGGGTTAAGGAAGTTTTTAAGATGGGAGATACTAGGACATGTTTATACTGATGGTAATAAACTGGTAGGATAAATGTAGAATGTTGAGAGACCATATACAGAGAAATGTGGGGGGAGGCTTACCTCCCTGGATGTGTGTGTGAATACTGGTACACACACATCTGAATCAGGCATTTCCCTCAAGTTGACATTTGAGCTAAGATCTGAAGGCTGATCTCTACATAGGCTTTCTTGTGCAAAAGAAGTGAAAAAGCAGTACAGGAGGGTACTAGGCTGAATAAACAGCATGGGGAACAGCTCTAGAGTAGAAGTGATCACAGTGCACTCACGAAAATGAAGTAAGGCCTGTGAGGACGGGGGAGGGGAAAGGTGGTGTGATAGGAAGGTGGAATGGTGGATAAGGACCAGACTGTGCAGGGTCTACGACATACGAGGAGTTGGTTTTTAATCCTAAGAGTAATGAGAAACCACAAAGCAGGAAAAGATTCTCAAATTAGCTTTTTAAAAAGTTTACTCTGCAGCAAGGAGAAGGGGTTAGAGAAGGACAAAAGATATTTGGGAAGTAGATAAATTTGGGAAGTCATTCTGTTCTGCTAAAGGAAAATGCTACAGAATCTGGAGGACAGGAAGGAACAGTGACAGGAGGAGCTAGGAAAGGGGTAACATTGGTTAAGAAAAAGAGGTAATTGTATAAGTATGTATTCATATACGTGTACATAAATATATACGAGGACTGTCCAGAAAGTATCCAGCCACAAATTATGAAAAACAAAGGCATTTATTGAGGAAGATAAAAAGAAACATAATAGGACAGCAACACCTCAGTCCCCTTCAAAGTAGGCACCTTGCGATCTCACACAGTTCTCCCATTTGCCATCAGCTACCCCATCATATTTTCCTGAATCTCACTGATAGTTTGAAATCTCTTCCCTTTCAAAGGTGATTTTAGTTTTGGGAAAATCCAGAAGTCTCAGGGCACCACATCTGGGTCGTAGGGGAGCTACGTCACCAGGGTGATTAGATGTTTTGCCAAAAAAACTCTGCACATGCTGTGATGCATGAGCAGGCCCATTGTCGTAATGAAGCTGCCAATCACCAGTTGCTCATAGCTGTGGCTTTCCGAATCATCTGAATAGTTTCCATGGAGGAATGTTGTTCAAGCTTAGTGCAAAATTTGACACAGATTCGTTGCTCTACTTGCTCAGTCATTCTTTATATGATAGCCACACAGTACACATGCTCATTCAATTCCATCTACCATCCCCACTGACTAGTCCAGTGAAGTCATCATTGTTCACCCATGCACATTCCAGTCCACTTTTCATGGCTGCTAGGTTGTATTGATTTTGCACAAACCATTCTCACTATATTATCAATGGCTGGACTTTTCTGGACAGACCTCACATCAAAAAGACACTGTGGTCATATATATAATTTTTATAACTATTACTATAAAAAACATATACACAGAAGATCATAAATTATAAGTGCATGATTTGTTGGATTTTCAGATTGACATGTCCATGAAACGAATGCCTAGATTTAAAAAATGAAGAATATTATTAACATCCTAACTCTTATCTCCCCAGTTCTCTGACTTCATTGTCAGACTTCACACACATTAGATTAGTTGGTTATTGAGGAGAAGGGGAAGGGTGAGGGGAAGCTACTTTATTGTTATATGACATACATGGAGAAAAGTTCAAAAATGATAGTCTAGAACTTGATGACTTTTTATAGAATGAACATATCCAGGTAATGTTCAAGATATGGAACATTACCAGCACCTTAGAAGCCTTTTCTGTGTCCACACCTACTTGTTACCCCTCCCCAAATGTGTCCACTATTCTATCATCACTGTGTTGGACGTCTCCAAGGCCATCCCCATATTCAAAGATTGACTAGAAGATTGACAGCTAAGATTTATTACAGCAGTGTATTAAGAACACACATTAGATCATAAGGGGAGAAAACACAGGTAAAGTATGGAGGCATCCGTCTGTAGGCTGCCTTATGTTCTCCCCCTCTCATGGGCAGGGGCGAGGGGTCACCCAGAGCTCACTTTCCTCAGTAGTGAAAATGCAGCGACATGTGTGCCATGTTTTTCCTGGAGAACTCCATTAGAGACGCAGCACCTTACCATTTTGTTGGGAGTCTGATCACATAGCGTTCCTGCCTAGCATATACTAAAATTTCAGACTCTTGGAAGGATGGCAGGTGTTCTGTATAAATCATATTGTTTGCACAGTCTAGGCACAGTGAGCCACCTTATCAGCTAGGGCAAGTTTTATGTCAGCATAAGAAATTATTTACTAGACAAGTTGCCAGACACCAACCAAAAGGCCAATCTTATAAATAAGTCTTTCTAAGGGTAGTAATCACAGGCCTGCTCTGTTAACTCTCTGCGCAGTCACCATTGATTAATTTTGCCTATTTTGAATTTAATGAAAAAGGAATCACATAGTGTCCATGCCTGGCTTGTTTTCTCATCATTATGTTTGTGAGAACCACAAAATTCCTTCATTCCCATTGCCAAATATTCTGTATAGAATAGTACACCACAGTTAATTCCTTCTACTGTTGATAGGCAGAGTTGTCCCATTTCTCTTCAACATTTGATATTATCACTTTTATATTGCAGTCATTCTTCCGAGTATGTAGTAATATTTTGTTATAGTTTTAATTAATATTTCCCTAATGCCTAATGAGATTTTTTTTTCTTAAGTTTTTTGAGCATTTTTAAATGTGTATTGGCCATCTGAGTAATTGCAAAATGGCTATTCAAGTCTCTTGCTCATTTTTGCATTGGGTTGTCTGGTTTTTTTGTAGGGTTTCTTCATATATATTTTGAATGAGCCCATTGTTGGATATATGTGTTTCAGGTACCTTCTTCTATTTTGTGGATTGCCATTTCATTCTTAAATGGCTTCTTTTAATAAATAAAAGTTACTAACTTTAAAGTAGCCTAATTAATTCACCTTTTCCTCTTGAGCTGTGTGTACGCTGTCACCTTTAAGAGATCTTTGTCTGTTTCAAGGTTGTCTTTTAGAAGCATTATTGTCTTACCTTTCATATTTATATCTACAGTGCATTTGAAATTTATTTTTGTATATATGGTGTAAAAATAGGGGGCAAGAGCCCCAGCCAGTGTGGCTCCATTGGTTGGGGCATCGTCCCATAACCGATGGGTTGCAGGTTTGATCCTTAGTCCAGGTGCATAAGGGGGCAAGGCAGCCAGTCAGTGTTTCTCTCTCACATTGATGTTTCTCTCTCTCTCTCCCTCTCTCTATAAAAGCAGTGAAAAAATGTCCTTAGATGAGGGTTTAAAAAAATTGGAGTCAAGATTCTCTTTTTCATATTAATATCTAACTCGACTGAGCACTATAAAACATTGTCTTTATTGCTATGGAATGGCAT